AAAAAAAAAAAAAAAAAAAAAAAAAAAAAAAAAAAAAAGACAAAAAACTTTTTTTTAAAATTAAAAAAGAAAATAGTGATGAAAAATAGTGAATTTCTAACTTACCATGGCAACATCATCTAAAATGCTCTGGGGTGAACTATGAGCCATAACCTAAAAGAAACAAATAATTTTCATGTGAAAAATAAACAAAGTATTACCAATATAGTCAAGAAATTTTAAGATATTAACCCCTGAATTCAGACAGGAATTTCTTGTGGCTAAGGAACCATTCCACAAATGTTTTAATTTTCAGATTATTACTCTGAAAGAGGCACCAGAACCTAGGATCTTAATCTCTATGTTTGTCTGTTGTCTAATTTTAAGTCAAATTTGACACAGTTTTAATGCCACAATAATTATAAAGTTGAAGAAAAGAGAGGAAATTTACTGTTCATGATATCAAAAGAGCACTACTGACAGAAAAATAGCATAGGTATACCTTTACAGGAATACGGTGCTTCTACTATGTTAACTGTTTATTCAACTTAAGACTATGGTTTTAGGAGACAATGGAAGGATATGATATGCCTTAGTGATTAAGAGCATAGGTTTCAGAGACTAGACTCATTATACAGCATCACCAAGACACAATCTCTCCTTAAACCTCCATTTCCTCATGTATAAAATGGGTATAATATTCGTGACACACACATCCTAAGGGTGTTTGGTTGGAAGAAGATAAAGTTCCTTTTTTTCTTTTTTTTTTTTGAGATGAGGAATCTCGCTCTTAATGGCCCAAGCTGGAGGACAACGGTGCTATCAGGGCTCACTTCAGTCTCCGCCTCCTAAGTTCAAGTGAGTCTTCTGCCTCAGGGCTCAGTTCAATCTCCGCCTCCTAGGTTCAAGTGAGTCTCCTGCCTCAGCTGGGATTACAGGCACTTGCCACTGCGCCCACCTAATTTTTGTCTTTTTAGTAGAAATGGGGTTTTGCTATGTTGGCCAAGCTGGTCTCAAACTCCTGACCACAAGAGTTCTGCTCAGGGGGTCTCCCAAAGTGCAGGAATTACAAGGCGTGAGCCACCACACTTGGCCTTGAGTTAACATTATATAGAACTTTATCTTTGTCTGGGCACCGTGGCTCACGCCTTGTAATCCCTGCACTTTGGGAGGCCAATGTGGGTGAATCAGTTTAAGTCAGGAGTTCTAGACCAACCTGGCCAACATGGTGAAACTCCCTCTCCACTAAAAATACAAAAAATTAGCTGGGTATAAACCAAACACCACATGTTCTCACTCTTAAGTGGGGGTTGAACAATGAAAATGCATGGACACGGGGAGGGGAACATTACACACTGGGGCCTGTTGGGAGGTGGGAGACTAGGAGAGGGATAGCATTAGGAGAAATACCTAATGTAGATGACGGGTTGATGGGTGCAGCACTTACCACAGGTATACCCTGGCTCGTGTATACCTATGTAACAAACATGCACATTCTGCACATGTATCCCAGAACTTAAAGTATAATTAAAAAACAGAAAAGAAGGCCGGGCGCGGTGGCTCAAGCCTGTAATCCCAGCACTTTGGGAGGCCGAGGCGGGTGGATCACGAGGTCAAGAGATCGAGACCATCCTGGTCAACATGGTGAA